CCCTCGGGCCCTGCCCTCCGGCCCTGCCCGACCCTGCACTCCGGCCCTGCCCGGGCCTCCCTCGGGCCGCGCGTTCGCCGCTCTAACGAGTCTGGGTGCGAGGGAGCTCCGCGCAGCTCGAGGCTGTGCGGGTGTTCCCTTCCAGCGCGCTTGAAATTGAGCTGTTTTTCTTACTGAAGTGTTGATCTGCTGTTGTTGTCACGGTTTTACCGTGGGATGGCTCTTACCTCGGCTGTACTCCCTGGTGATCACAGTCAGGTGTCTGCAGTCAACAGCCCTTAGCCCAGGAGTTGTTCAGTGCCAGGCATCCCTGCGGAAGTGGGAGCAGTGCACTTGCGAGAGGAGGCTGAGCTAAAGAGAGTCTTTGCAATGGACCAGTTAACCTTTTGATGCTCCTTCCTGTAAAGACAGAAATGTTTCCCAGTTTACCTCTGCGTGCTCTTGTTGGAGAAGTGCAGTAAAATATAACTGGGGGGAGAGCAAATTCTCTGCAGCAGAACTAGGAAGAACTTAGGCTGTTTTAGTCCATAACAAAGTAACATCAGTGCGAGGGTGATGGAGTTTAAGTATGTATGTGTAGTATTCCCTGATGCTCAGGGAGAGGACAAGAGGCAGTAAGAACAGATCCAAGCACAGACACTTCAATTTAAACATAATAATGAGATGGTTAGAAACCTGTGAGGTGTTTCAGCACTGGCCCAGGTTGGAGGTACCCGAGACGTGACCGGACAGGATTCCCAGCAAACCCTTCTAGCTGACCCAGCTTTGAGCAGAGCTTGGGCTAGACACTATCCAGAGCTCCCTTCCATTCTCAGCAGTCTTTGTAGGGATCTCTGGTCCCAGTTTTTCTGAGCTGATACTTAATGTTATCCCTTTAAAAAAAATTACTGTGTTTGCTGATAAAAAATGCACTAGGATTTTTTTTAAACTTGGGTTGAGCTTTTGACTGCAAAACTCTTGGTGACGGGTTTGTCACCAAGTCAGTCGCATCCTGCTGCGACTGAGTTTTACCTCTGACTGACAGGCTTTAGAAGAAAAGGACTAATATTGTTACTCTGAGGCAGCATTCAAATACTTGGAAAAAGTTATTTTCTAGTCCTGTTTTTCTTGTATATATACAGCAAAAAATCGAGTAAGTGAACATTCTGGTTTTGCAGGTTGTGATATAGTGGGTAGAAAACCTACCCTTGAGGGTCTCAGATCAGTTACATTTCTAACCTTCATTAGCAGCTGTTCACACATAGTGAAAAGTTAAACCTGGAATCATTTCAAGTCTTCTCTTTACATCAATCGCATGTCATTGTTTTTCCTTTCTGTATTATTTTACATGGTTAGTTTTGTGCATGTTCAGTTCTGTGTTGTTTTTTTTCCCATTGTGATCCTGAAAGTCGTTGTCAACTAATTTTGTTTTGAATCGTTTAGAAACACATAGCTCATGGCCTGGTCCCTGCTGCTACCATAGCTCCTAAACCTGCAGCTCCCCGCACCCCTCCCCCTCGTAGTCCAAACCCTTCTCCAGAAAGGCCCAGGTACGTTGGGATTTTTCTTTCTTTTGCTTCACCAAGTACTGTAGCACTCTAGAAAAGCACAATAAGCAGAGCCACATGTCCTTGCTGGAGTGTTCCATGAAGGGAATAAGTGGGGAAGTTCACCTCTTTGGATTTTTCTCCCACTTCTGAGCATGCTAAATATTTAGGAAAGTAACTGTTAAGAATGTGTGACTTACCTGAGTCAAAGACAAATGGGCTGTCTGAAGGTAGGGCAGTTCTTAACTGGGCTGCTGCAGTGCTGATGCTGCGAGTCAGGAAGCTTTAGCTCATTTGAAAAGTATAGATGAAATGTTGCTAGAGTGCCAAGGGCTTCAAAAGCTGCCACGGGGTTGGGTTTGAGTTAGCAGTGTAGACAAGTTACACTGAGAAAAGTACAAATCTGTTCTAATTTGTTGCTTCTCACAGTTCTTTATTCTATGTTTTCTCTATGTTTTGTTCAATTCTGGTTGTTTTCCATGGTCCTTCTAGTAGGGATGTTACAGACACTTGTTCCTTATTGACCTCCAGTTGTTGTCATTCCTTTTACAGTCTTCACCATTTCTCTGCTTTACTCTTGCTTCCTACTTGTTTTGCCTCCTCATCTTACCCTTCTCTGTACTCCCCAGCATCCCACCTGTAGGCACTTCTGTTGACCTGCTCTTGTCCTGGTCTGCTGTGTGCCAACATTTATTAACAGCTTCAGAGTCATCAGTTAAAGGTTCAGAGTAGGGGGTAATGGAAACTAGGAGACAAAGCAGCAGGATGTGCAACACCCTTTTAACACAACACCAGGTAGTATTGTTGTGGCTAAGTGAATGCCAAATACTGTAACTGATGTGAATTTCTGGAAAGTAACTCAATATGTTCCATGATTTTCATGCACGTGATGTGGGAAAGCCAATAGGTATTGTACTTTACTCTTGGATAGCAGCATTGCAGTAGCTCACCCCACTCTGTGCTTTACTTTGAGAGTTCTTAGTTTACAAGCAATCCTGTAGCATTTGGTGGTATTTGTGCTCGTTGACTGTGAATATTTTGCCTTGCTAAGATAGTGAAGACATTTTTGCAAAGGAAAAAGTATGTGTTGCTGTGTTCCCCTGCAGGTCTGCTCTGGCAGCAGCAGTCCTAGCAGCAGCACTGACAGGGCGCACTGTGGCTATTCCTCAGCCTCGGCAGCGAGCGCGCGCGGAAGATGAGCGTGTCCCTGCGGAACAGGAGTGCCTCGCACCGTATGCAGCAGTCACGGAGCTCAGGACGGGGTACTGTGTCCTTTCTGGTTTGATACCTGTCTTAGAAATGTCATCTGTCAATAGTTTAGCGGAGAGTTGCAGCAAACTCCTGCTGTTACAGCCGCTGACGCTTTCCTTGCCGCGTCACAAATTGGGTCTGAGGTGTCTGCAGTCCTTGTTCCATTGCTTGGAAAGTGATGTCATGCTCATAGTCTTCAAAGAGGCAAATGTGGATTGTGCAGCAGTCATAAGTAAAACCATCTATTATTTCTGCCAAATGGTGATCAGTTATACCAAATGAGATTGAACAATCATCTGAGTTACATGTCAGAGATTTCCTCTGCGCTGAAAATGATTTCAGACTATCCTTTCGGCAGAATTCGGAACCTTCTGTCTCTAATCTGGCACTTCTTTAATACAGAGAGGAAAAGATAGTGCCAGTGTTTGTTTTAAAGCATACACATAGGCTAGGTCCCTCACCTGCAGGTAACAAGCTTAGCTGTGCCTGTGTCAGCTGTTTGTACTTGTGGTGTGTATTGAAAGACTGAGGGTGGTTCTCCTTTACTAGTGTTTGTGTTTTTTGCAGAGTAAGTGACACTGAAACAGGCCTTAAACTGCTTTTTACTTGCAGGTCCAACTGGAAACTTGATGGTAGTGACAGATCTGTACAGTCCCTGGAAATCTCAGGCAGTTGTGGTGAAGATGAGGACATGGATACCTATCTGTCGGATGCTGATAAAGAGGCAGAGTCCAGCTGTCAGAGTAGTGAGAAGAGGGGAGAAAGCTCTAGCACCAATGCTGTTTATGCTGCTCCCTGCAAAAATAAAAAGGTAGGATTTTAAAATGTATTCATACCTTTACCATTTTTAACGTGTTAAATGTTTCTGATGCTTTATATTCTCCTCTTACTCTTCATTTATTCAGTATTTATTTCACATGCTTCTTTCTGTGATTCATTCAATCTTAAATGAGCCAGGGAGGTTTGCTGCTCCTCACAGATTCCCTATCTCTGATTATTAGAAGCCTCTTCTTATTAGGAAAACACTGGTACTGTGTGTAATTGTTGTGCATAATTTAGTCTTGTAAAATGTCCAGTAATTTGAGCATGGTACTCACATAATAGATTGTTAAAAGTGCTAGGAACTTCACATGTAAATGGTGAAAGCTAAGTTAATGATTCAGTGTTGTGGTAATGAGCACAGACCTGTATAGAGACAGGGAGATTCAGAATCAAACAAAATAATTACCTTGTGTTGAAAACCAGGGGATGTTTCTGTGTCATCAGTCTGGAATGAGCAACTTAATATTCCTAAGGCACACTGAAAGTTCAGTCCAAAGTGATACACAAGTTTAACAAACAGGAAGAAGTAGCTGAGTAGGAAAGAGGCAATAAAATGCTCTACCTGTGTGAAAGAAACCCCAAACCACCCCGAGCTGAAGAGGCAGTAGTTGGCAAGAGGAGGAAGGAGGGTGGGGGAAAGGGATGGAGTGGAGTACATTGGACACTGGTATGTGATCAGCAGGGGAAAACCAGCAATGGCAGTGTTAAATATGGGTCCTTAATCCCTCTGTGCTGTGATACAGTAGATAAATGGTTGATTTTTAGTAAGAACAAGTTTACATACGACACAACAAACACATGATAATTTCACAGGCTCTTGTGACTGCCTAAGGTGACAGGAATATTTGCCCTGTGAACTAAATCACTGTCATAGTTTCTTACCTCCTGTTGATTATTGTAAGGTTTAGGTTTTATTTACATAGAGACCTAAATGAAAAAAGGTATGTCTTGTAATTTATTACCTGAAGATATTGGGGTACATTTCTGAATGCTGCTGGGTCATTAGTACATTCCTACAGATCTCAAGGTACGTGGGCTGTTGTAACAGTGTTACCATGACTTAGATAGGCTTCTCCTGTTTTTACTAGGAAGAGTTTCCACCATCTCCTAGTCCCAATGCTGACAAGAAAGAGGTGCCTTCTCAGGAAACTGAGTTTCAGGTGGCAGAGGATAAGTCCAATGTGCAAATAGAAGGTAAATGAATCCCCATCCTGACAGGGAGAACATTTCTCCTCACATCCAATCTGACTCTGCCCTGGCTCAGCTCAAGGCCATTCCCTCTCTCCTCTCCCTCAGCCCTGGCAGGACACACATCCCCCACCTCTCTCCAGCCCTGGCAGGAGTTGCAGAGAGCCAGGAGGTCACCCCTGAGCCTCTTCTTCAGGCTGAGCAACCCAACTCCCTCAGCCCTTGCCCATGTGCTCTGCCCTTTGCTGCCCTCGTTGCCCTTGGCTGGACTCGCTCAGTGCCTCAATGGCCTTTGGGCAGTGAGTGCCCAAAGCTGAGCACAGCACTGAGCTGGGACCTTCCCAGTGCCCAGTCCAGGGGGATGAGCACTGCCCTAGTGCTGCTGCCACATTATTCTTGATACAGGCCAGAATGCCCTTGGCCACCTCTGCACACCTGGCTCATGCTGAGCTGTGCCACCAGCACTGCCAAGGCCCTTTCTGATGGACAATCAATCCAATCTTGCATTTGGTTGCAGTATATAACATGTGCATACATAGCCTTATGAACCCTTACAGTTTATGGACTTAGAAATAATTGTGGTTTTAATTGACTGAAAGATATGTTTTCCTTTAGCAGAAGACCAACATCTTGGCTGGAGTGTAAAGGTAAGACTTACATAACAGTTGATTTATGATGCACATTGGAAAATAAAGTGTCATAAAGAGCCAATAGTTTGCAGTTGCTTAAAAGAAAACTAATTTATTGCCACTTGGGATTTTTTTTTCTTTTGGAGTACAAGAATGGCTAATCATTCCTTTTGAGAAAACACAGCTTTGTAGGTAAATAGGCCATACAAAAGTTGGGCTGGAGAGAATCTCTGTATCAGTCACGTTCAGCTGAAGCAGATAGATCAGTGTAAATGAGCCTGTGGCTCTTTCTTGGTGAGAGAACCTTCTCAAAATGGACAAATAGGTACTTTTATTTTTTCCAGCACAGCAAGAACAAAGTTCTTCAAGTTTGTTGAAGAGCATTGTACATTTTAATTCATTTGCTGGTTCCCAGTGAGGGACTGACAGTTCATATCATGACTGTCTAGTCTAAAGCCTTTATTTCATGCAAACTAACAAGTGGGGGCAATATCCATCCTGTTTGGTCAGAAGCTTTATGTTTGTCAGCCATAGAAAAATCATTTTGAGAACTGTACATCTCTGACACCTAAAGGTGACACTGATACTTTCAAGTGTCCAAAAGTGATTGATGGCTGTGGTAAGTGACAAAATGTCAAGATGAGTCAGCAATAGTTGTACATTATCAGCAGTGAAACCAACCTTAAATTTTGTTGAAATATAAAAGAAACTGCTTCAAAAGTTTTGTTATCTTAAGTTCTCCAAAAGCAATGCTGTTCAGAGAACTTCAGGAAGGGAAACCTAAAGCAGCTTGTCTCATTTTTTTATTTCTCTGCTAGGAGGAGAAATCATTAGCAGAAAATCTGATACGTGAAAAACCTCCACCGTCCCCAGGTATTCTGGATTTTTCTATGGCTTCACTACATATCTTCACTTTAATAATGTGCTTGTGTATATAAAACCACATTTTTCTGCTTGTGTTGTCTAAGCCTAATGTGTATGTGTGAAAGTACTCACACTCTCCCTGTGCAGGAGGGGAGAAGGTGCTGAGTGCGATGTGTAAGATCAATAGGCTTTTGTTAGGTAGTTTAGACTTGTTTTTATTTTCCAATCTGAGTGACTTTTGAAGTCTAAAGTAAAGGGTGGTGAAGCAGTGTAATGAAATGAAAAGTCTTACCAGACCTCTGCAATGCCTTAAGTTTAATCTGCAGTAGAAGATGTCACCAGTGTTACCTATCCCTTTGCACCTGAAGTGGTGAATGGACAGTGATGAGCTACATGGTGTCCCTTCAGCTTATTTGTATGGTACTGCACCCGTGTCACACCCTCATGCACAGCACCTCTGTGTGTTGCAGGCATGGGATATGTGCCTGTCATGAGTTCATGGGGTTTTGTGCATGTCTGTGCTGTCCAAGTACCTTAGGCCTTCTCACAGGAAGGCAGCAGTGACCAGGCGTGCCTGAAACACTGCTGAACACCTGAGTTGTTTTATGTCACCAGCAGCAAGAGACAGCTCTGTCTGACTTCATTTGTATCCAGTTCTAAGGAGCTGCCCTGTACAGAGTCACAGTGGTGCCTGTGTGCCATTGGATTGTGTTGTGAGGGTAAAATCTCAGCCTCCATTTTAACAGGGTATCTCTTTACCCTGTACAGATGGAGAGGAAAACTTGGAAGTGAGAGCCATTGCTAGTGATGCAACAATATATCTACAGTTTTGCAGATAGTCTAAAGTTTTACTTTTGTAAGGACTGGTTAAGACACTTCTGTTGGGTAACAGAACATTGAAGATGTTCAGTGGGAAGGAAGGTAAAGCTTTCATGACATAGGTGGTCAAAAGAAGAAGGGGTTGAGAAGACTGACTAGTCCATGAAGGGCACAGACACTTTGCTTACTGCACTGGCCATTGCTGTCTCACCTCTTCAACCAGTGGTGCTTGGGAGAGAGAGTTCTGCTGACACTTGCTTTTCCATTTAAAGAAGGAATGTTTTCTGTGTCTGAGAGAAAATATGGGAATTTGCAGCCATTCCACTGCCCTCTTTCCAAATCCACTTCTTCCATTGTTTCTGCTGTTACCTTGTAGGGAGCCAGGAGCTGGTTTGTAGCTTGCAAAGTATCACTCACACCTAATGCTACTGTTAGCAAAAACGGGTTGTAATTTGCTGAACTCCAAGTCTGAGTACCATTTGAACACCTTGTCCTGTGGCTTTGTAGATGTGTCCGTTCGGGCAAGGCAAGCACGGGAAAATGTGGCTAAGGAAAAGTTCAGAGAGCTGAAGCAAGAAAACTGGGCTCTGAATAGGGCATACCAGGCCCTGGTGCAACAGTTCGAGGGAACCAAACAGCAAATGGAAGAACAGCAATTAAAGCTGAAGAAGCTAGAGCAAGAAAACAGAAGACTTAAAGAAACTGCAGAGAACTCATCCAGAGAAGGTGGGAGAAACATATAAGCTGTTCTGTAGTTATCTTGTTTGATTTTTTCCAATTTCTTGCAACCTATTCCTGCAATAGTAGGTTTCAAGTCGTTGACTAGGCAAGTCTCTCTGCAGAAGTAGTTTCCAAACATTTGTAGAAATTTTGTCCATGAATGCTTCATGATCATGCAAAAAAATTTACTTGGTTGATTGAAACATAATGAGGTTTTGTCGGTAACTTTTTGTGGGAGTTTTCCATTAAGAGTATTTTGAGAGAAGTTCTCTTACGATTCTAACTTAGGTATTTTTTTTGTTATTACAATAAGTAATTATTGTGAGCAGTTCTTGAGTTTTGATTGAGCTTTCTTGTTGGATGTTTGCTTTAATAGAGGAGGCAGCAGAATTACTTTCTCTCAGACAACAAGCCCAAGAACTGGTAGATGAGAACGATGCTTTGAAACTGATGGTCCATCGTTTAAACGTAGAATTAAGTCGCTATCAAACCAAATTCAGGCCCTTGGCCCCAGAAGAGGTGAGAATGTTGGCTTTAAAGGCGCTTTGTACTGAAATGTCCCACTGATCTTTGTCTGACCTTGGGGGTTTTATGACTCTTTCCTCCAAATTTGCCACAAACTTTCCAAGTGGTATAGGCTTTTTCTGAGATTTCAGGTAAGGCTTTGTGGTTAACTGTAAGACATTAGACTTTCTCCTGTACTAGCAAGTTCTGGTGACTTTGAGATTGTGTGTTGCATGTGCAACACATGTAATTAGGAACCAGCTGGATGGGGTGACAGGACTGCAGTTGTTGGTGCTTCACAAAGCAGGAAGTAATGTCAGTATCTTTTACAATCTGCTCTAGCACCTAACCCTGAGAAGTCTGCCCATGAAAGGACCTCCACCGCCGTGGCTGGTGAGTCAGATAATACTTCACTTCTCTACTCATTCCTTTCTACACCAAGTAGCAGAATTTCTTTACTGGAACCAAAATATTCAGGATATTTTTTAGTTACTCTGCGGAACCATCACATGGTAATTAATAGAATATTACAACCTTTTTCTGTTGCCTAAAGAAATGTAGGGCAGACCTTTGCAGTGAGTGTGCAGCTCCAGTTGAATGCTCAGCAAGCTACAGACTGCACCAAACCTGAAAGTACTGTTACCCTGAGAGTCTTAAATGCCATCCTCACTTAGGACTGCTGAGCCTGTAGTTTGCTTCAAGATCTTTCAGGGTCTATGGCTTATTGTTAATCTTCTGCTGTGATTATTTTCAAGGTGATACTAAAAGAAACTAGAATATTTCAGTAACTTTGATGGTAGAAATGGTCAGGGGTCCACTAGGAGCCTCTGAACTTCTATGTGTAATTAACTGCATTTGTGATGTGTAAAACAATTTCTCCTTGAAACACTAACCAGATCTTAGATTTTCCTTCCTCATTGTTACTCAGAACTATGTAGAAATAGGAGAGTCCTCCTGCTCTGTCTGTAGCCATAATAGCAGAGAATCACACATGTATGTGTTGAGTTCTAAAGATGCAGATTTGAGCATAAAAATTCCTTTCCCACTTCCTAGTGAACCTGAGAACTTTTTTTACTAATAGCTTCAGTATTCACTGTAGTGTTTCAGTTTGGGTTTGTATTCATTTGCATCCTCATCTGCTGTGTTACACAGAGAGATGAGTTGGAGCTGCTTTTAGTGCAGTGAGCAAACAGTGCCCAGCCTTTGCCTTCCCAAGCCTTGCTCCCAGTGCAGTGCTGGGCAGAGCTGCTGCAGCACCACCCTGCACAGGCTGCTCTGCCTGCTTGGGGGGTGCTGCACCATCCTCTGCAAGCCAGGAGTGAAAACCCCTGGGCTTTGAAAGTTAGCCATGTATAGCAGAAGTAAGAAATATTGATGAGATTGTGGTTTGTAATTTGTGTGTGTTGATTTTTCAATCTTCTTTTAAGTTGGATCTGAAGTATCTGTCACCTCTTCTGTTGGCATATGAAGACAGACTACAAGAAAAGGAAGATTTTATTCTTGAACATGAGGCAAGTGGCCATTTACAGAAAATAGACACTAAAGTGGAAATAAATGACTGAAATTGTTGTAAGGGATTTGTCAAAGCTGTTTTTTGCCTACAATTTAAAGGACTTTGTTTTCCTTTTCCATGCATAGTTACTGTGCTGCCTTGTCCTACTTGTCTTGCTTGTTCTGTCAGCCTGTTCACAGTGAGAAGCACTAAGAACACTGAGATGTGTGAGATGCACTCTCAGAGCAGAGGAAACCATAAACATAGTCTGTGGTAGAAAGGAGATACTGCTGTTGTTCATCATGGGGATCCAGTGCTTGGCACAGCTGCTCCCCCAGCTGCAGTGGGTCTGGGGTGGAAGAATATTGACTTCCAGATCTTCAAAGAATGGGCACTCTCTTTGCTTTTAGAAGTGGTTTTTTGTCATTGAATCTTTGAAAAACTTTCATAGGGTTTAAAAATAAGTGTATTTCCTTCAAAAGAATTAAGCCGTGAAATGAGCAGAAAACACCAAGGGGTTTGTATTGCTCTAAAGTCACTGTATTGTCCTACCACACTCAAATCCGTGTCATTCCTACTGAACATGTGTAGTATCTCCCAGTAATCTCCAGGATTCAGGTTCTTAAATCCATATTTTGGGATCTACAACTTGCAAAAATGTGGCACAATTCAAATATCAGCATTCATTTTAATCAGATGTTCCTAGGTGGCTGAAAGAGTTCAGCAATCAGGTATGATACCTGAATTAGCAGTGAGTGAGCAGTGAGATGATGTGCTATCAGGACAAGCATTGGGGGGCACCCAGGGATGTTTGGTTATCACAGTGGACATTGATGTAAAACTCGAAACAGGAAATACTAAAGAATCTTATGTGAAATCCTTTGCCTTCCAGGAGGATATGAAGAGCTTTAAGGCACGAGTTGAAGAGCTGGTGAAGGAGAATGAAGACCTGCACGAGCAATTAAACACCTTTATTACCCCCACAGAATGGCAAGTTGTATTACTAGAAATGAATTCAATTTGCTTGTTGCAAGAGAACTTTTAAGATGACGAATTTTAAGGACAAATTTTGTTCCCCTCAAGCAAATTAAGGTCACAGTCCATTTGCTTCCTTCTCCTCTGCCCAGTGCAGTAAATTTCACAGCAGATTCGTCAGATAAATTTACAAGCTTCTGTGCAGAGGTTTTCATGGATACAAGTGTAAGATGACTTCTATTTCTGTGCTTTTTTCTGGGTATAGTTTATATTTTTCAGCTGACAGTTGTTAGCTGTGTGGTTCAGTTGAAGTTTTAGTCAGAATATCATTTGATGGGGGGGAAATTGGCCCTGCCTAGATCTGTGCACAACAGGATGCATTTGTATGTAGGTCAGGCCACACATGAACAAAGATGGATACAAGTGTAAGATGACTTCTATTTCTGTGCTTTTTTCTGGGTATAGTTTATATTTTTCAGCTGACAGTTGTTAGCTGTGTGGTTCAGTTGAAGTTTTAGTCAGAATATCATTTGATGGGGGGGAAATTGGCCCTGCCTAGATCTGTGCACAACAGGATGCATTTGTATGTAGGTCAGGCCACACATGAACAAAGCAGATACACGTCTTTTCAGCAGTAGCAGGACTCCTTGGTAACAGCCTAGTTTGCTACGCTCTGGGTTTAGGCTGCTCTTGCTGATTGATGCCAACTCTTCAGTTTAAGTTCATGTCATATCATCCAGCACTTGTTCTGGATTTCTGCTTGCGTTCTGGCTAATGCTTTTCAGCTTCTTAAGCTTTTTCTGGAACAGCAAGTAGTTCCTTAAGCTTTGGCTAACATCAGAAACATTGGTGTTGGTTTACTCAAAAGCTGAATTAATACCAGTTATAAAGTAGAGGGTTAAGTTCTCTGCTCAGGGTAGTTTATTTTGAAGGCCCAACTTCCTTGCAGGCCCAGAGAGCACACTGGCAGTATTTTCCAGAGATCAAAGCCAAGTAAATCCAAATCCCATCCAAGAATTTATCCCGTTTTGAAAACAAGTTTGGTTCAGTTACTAGTTACAAAGCTGCCTCCAAGTCATCTTGCACCATTCTGTGGCTTTAATTCTCTCGTGTAAGAAGTCAGAGGGAGCTGGGGCTGTTTCACCTGGAGAAGAGATGGCTCAGGGGACGTCTCATCACTGTACCTCAGTGGCTGAGGAGAGGGTGTAGGCAGAGCCAGGCTCTGTTCAGCAGTGCCCTGTGCCACAACAAGAGGCAGCAGGTACAAACTGAAACACAGGTGGTTCCCTGTGCACATAAGGAAACAGATTTTCTGTGAGCACTCTGACAAGCTGTCCAGAGGCTGTGGAGTCTCCCTGCCCAGAGATACTCAAGCCACCTAGACATGGTCCTGGGCAGCTGGCTGTAGGTGTCCCTGCTTGCACAGGGCATTGGACCAGGTGACCTCCTGAGGTCCCTTCAACCTCAGCCATTCTCTGGTGCTGTGATCCTGATTCACACACGCTCATTTGTCCTTCTTTCTATAAGGAGTTTTTGTTAGGCAAAGGTTTGAAACGTTTAAAATTAATTCCATTTGATGAGTGTGAGTTCGTGTCTCCAATCAGCTTACAGCAGGTCCTGACATTGCTTTCAACCAGGGTTTTGGTTTTAGAGTTTTGGTTTTAGAGGTTCAAATCTGATTTTTTAAGTTTAAGCTGTCGAAAGTCAGTTGTGTTTGTTCTTTGGACATAAGTTACCATTTTAATTTCTGTTTTATTTACAAGCTGGTTATCATTGCAGGCAGCAGCTGCAAACTCAGGCCAAGCTGGTCTTGGAAGAAAATGGATTGTTGATGAAGCAACTTGAAATTCAACAAGCTAAAGCCAAAGAAAGTCAGAGACAACATGTTCAAGACGGTAAAGTGCTCGAGTTGCTAGTCATTTGAACTACAGAGCATGCTGCAGGTTTGGGGTTTTGTGGGGGTTTTTTGTTTGTTCTCTGTTGTTGGTTTTGGGGTGGGTTTTTTTTACAACTTTATATATATGCCTACAAAGCATTGCTGAATGTAGGTGACATTAATATGAGATCAAGCTCTGGCTGTCAACTGATACCTGAGAGGAATGTCAGTATAACCTACTGATACAACAGAACATACTCCAGTTTGACTCGTGTCTTCTGAAAGAGTGACAAGAGCTGTCTAACAGCAATACACTCATGTTCATGACTGATGAGCTCTTTAAACTGAGTCAGAATTTTTCAGAGTGGAATGGTATTTCTATGAGCAAAGTGCTTAATAGCCCTGAAAAGAAGTAGTCTTGAGGTTTTGGCACTTTCCCAAAGCAAGTTGCTTGAGACAGCAAAACTAAAATCCAGACTGTTAGAATACAAACAGACTGACAAACCCACTGTTACCCAATGCTGTGAACAACTAGGAGTTAACGTAGTGATGGGTCAGTTGCAGTTTCACTCCGTGATTGGGTTCCGCTATACCCAGTTGGCTTCTTCCTTTTTTTTTTTCTCCCAAAAGCTTCAAAGTTGACCAAACAGTTAGTGATCTTAGAAGGTAAGAAACAGAGTCAAGAAGAAGAGATGGCAGAGTACCAGAAGCAGTTAAAAGCTTTGTATTCTGCATGTGAAGAGCTGAAAGCCAAAGTGGATAGCAGAATAGCAGCAGAGGAGCACTTGGCCTTGGTGGATGATTTGAGAAGGTATGTGTTCATGTACAGTGCTTGGAGAAACACTTGTGCAGTGTGTGCATGACAGAGCCATGGGCATGGCACTGCCCATCCAGGAGGGAACTGCCAAGGTACCAAGACAGGAAAGAGTTCAAACACTGCCTTGTGTTTTAGAGAGGTGTGAAGTTACAAAAGGAAGTCCTAGGTCTAGCAATACTGGCAGGAGTGTTTCTACCACAGTGTGTACTGCTAAGTTTACCTTTTTAAAGTAGAAGAGGAGCCATTAAAACCACCAGTTTTGTTCAATCTGTTTACTTCTATCAATACTGTATATAAAATTTCTCCCTTTTTTTGTTCCCATCTTTGGGAAAATGTCGAAAGGATCCTGAACTTCTAAAGTAGGAGTTCAAAGTTTCTCCAGTCTTTGCAGTACAGAAGTAAGACTGAACTGCAGCACACCAAGTGCTGTCACACAGCTCAGGGCAGGGCAGTGCTCCTCCACACACTCTGTGCATTGGTTTCTTGACGAGCCTTAGGGTCCTGCAAGTTGCTGCTTTGTGTTAGTGCTGCCTAAGAAGTTCTCACACCTTGAATTTTGGCATTGCTAGTAATTTGTTTGAAAAACCCCCAAAACATTAGGAAGGGAATACATTTGACTGTGTGGGATGTTTTTGTGGTTTAACTCAAGTGCAGCCAGTGACTAATTCACTGATAATTTGATGTGGCACAAGATTAATAACTCTCTGACATCAGCACTGAACACTGAACATCCTCTGTGTCTTTTTCATGCCTTCAAGACTGGTATCTTGCTGTAGCTTTCTAGTGAAGCAGGTCTGTGCCTGACACCTGCCCTGTGCTGTTGGTTTCTGCAGCCGTTTGCAGCAGGAGCTGGAGAAGAAGTGCTGTGAGGTGGAAGATATCAAGGGGAAGGTAGCAGCACTGCAGGCTGAAAACAAGAAACTGCTCTTGGAGAAAAATAACTTCATGGCTGATAACACGATCCTGAAAACAGAGATGGAAATGACAGAAAAGACAAACAGGTCCTATCAGTCTCATTTTCTGATAGAGGTACACCTATGTGTCTAAAATAACAGCAGAAATACCTGTCAAAATAAGTCTAACATTGCACAGTGTGTGTTTTCTACATAGTGCAGAAAAATGGGTTTCCCACACATCTAAAGGCCTGTTTGTCAAGTTTTGTTAACCTTTGTGTGTTTTCAAACACACTTTTCTGTGTCTTTGTGCAAATTAAGGATATACTGTTAACACAGTAGTTAGTTACAGCAATTATCATTTGTGTACTCATCTGACAAATAAGGCCCTGCACTGCTTGTAGACCTTCTCACACACCCACTTGGTTCAGAGATGGGCTCACAACACCTTGAACAGGAAGAACACTAGTATTGTTGTATTTTTTGGGCAAGATGAGCTTGTCGCCATTGCACAAACTCCTCTTGAATCATTTGTCATTGTTCACAAAACCTACTGTAAAGAAAAACAGCACCAAAAAGTGAGACATGAGCACTGCAAATCCTGGGAGCCAGTGTGATTCTAACAGTATGTTTGATTGTGTGAGACTTGTACCTGTGGATTTGCACACCATGCAAGGTTTTAATGCTATCGTTCATTCTCAGCCTGAAGATTTTCCACGTTTTCTGTTCATTTTACAGGCGACTGAAGAAGAAAATAGGTCACTTGCAGCTGCAGCTGGAGGAAGCAATGGAGAAAGAAGTTGCAGCCCATCACTATCTAACAAATCTTGTTGCTCTGGTGGAGAAGATATCTCAGGAACGTGATCATCTTGTATTTTTGGTAATTGTCCTTAAATAATTAACACAACTGACGTTTCACACAGTTATAATCCTACTGGCACAACTGAACTATAAAACAAGAAAGCTATCATCTCAGTTTAAGAACTAGCTGTTTAAGTAGATGTTAGCAAACAAGATAGGAGCAGCAAAAGATTTTTTCCTAGAAGAGTGGTTAAAAGCAACTGTTTGTGAAGATGTCTTGACAGAACTTCAGTGATCACAAAAGTAGTGCAAACCTTATCTCTGCAGGTGTGCAGTACTTGGCATCATACTCCTCCCTGCTGAAACCTGCCTCTGAAAGGCTGCCCTGGAAAATCAGGTTCCATGCACATGTAAAGCCCTGAGTAACTCTGTTGAAAGCAGCCCAAAGTGCAGTCAGTCACCTCGGGGCTGTCTATAGACAGGTGTTCAGACTGATCCAGCAGTTGGAAGCCAGTCCTGTCATCCAGAACTGTTTACCTCCTCCTTTTGGATCACATTCTCCTCTGTGTGTGTATGATGACACATACTCATTTGCCACCATTAGTTCTCTGTTTTGTGACTTAGATTGTACAACTCTTGCTTTTTGTTTATGACCCTGCTGTGTCTGGGCTGACAGCACAGACACCTGGGGACTAATTTTTCCACTGAAATAGTCTAGTATCAGTAAAAATTTAAAATACTCAGTTTGCTTTGCTGCCTCATAACGCTGAATCAGAACAACCTGGTGCTGCTTTTACTACTGAAGTGAAAACCTGCTGGGTGAAGAACTACTGATTCTTTTATGGTAGCATTTAGCTACCTCACAGCACATCAAATTGTCACTCACTGAGCGTGAAGCTCACAAACTCCAGCAGTGACAGTTCATTTTGACTCCTGTGAAAGGAGGTGTCTCTGCAGTGATTCAGGTAGTGCAATGTGATTAGGCCCTGGTGATTCTAAAAGCTAATTGTGTCTCTTTTCGATGCTTTCAGTGGCTTTGGCAGTTGAAGCCTCTAAAAATTATTTCTTTGTTTATAGCTTATATTTTTGTTTGGTTGACCTTTTCTTTCTGGGAATATAGTGCCTAGGAAATGATGAAAACAGCCCTAAGACAGAAGTGTTTCCTAAGCCACGTGTCAGAATCCTTGGCTGAGCCCCTGCCAGTTTCCAGGGCTCCTGGGAGAGCAGGGTGCCAGATCTGACCAAAGGATGAGTCTCATCCATACACATGGGACCCCTGGATGTACCTGTAGCAAAATGCACAGGAAGGGTTGGGTGTGCAGCATCAGTGTCCTTACCCCTTCAGAATAATACTGTTTGATAGCCTTCACAGTCAGCTGACCATTATTAGAACAGTTTTCAGGACTCCTTTTCCACGCTGGTTCCTCAGACCACTGGAGCTCTGAGCAGAGCTGTGTCTGCTCAGTGTAAGCCTGTTGCCTGCCCTGTCCAACACAGTGACTGCATTAGGGCTGTGTGCTGTCTGGTTGCAGGCCAGGTGTCTGGAGGATGAGAACCGTGGTGCTCTCCACAAAGTGGTGGAAGGCAGCCTGCGCCTGGGGAGGCTGGAAGAAAAGGTCAAGGTAAGTCAAATACTTGGTGTGAAATGTTTGGGGCTTTAATGAGACAGGTCAGTCGTTAACCTGTGTCACTGTTTTCAGGAAAGACTTCAGGATTGTTTTTAAAGCGAAATAGATGATCGTGACGGTTTGCACAAGTGTCTTCCTCCATTGTATCGGTACACTGATGTCTCCAGGCCATCCCATTTACATTCCTGCCTGGAGAATTACAGCTGGCTGTAAAAGTAATGGAAGATTATTTGTACTTCATTTTCGATCTGTAGTGTAACCCAAGTGTTCTCTCTCCTGCTTTTCTGAGGCTGTGCTAGTGCTTCAGGGTGGAGTCCATTGCAATTAGACTTGGAAGGATGAAAAACGTACCTCAAGTGCACAGTCACCATGGAGTGCTTTCCCAGGGCCATAGGCTGGAGGTTTAGGAACTCAGAGGATGTTCAGACAACCAGCCTAGTTAGAGAATACATCATAGGTTGTCTTTACAGCTCTCTACACAAATGCAAAGCTCAGTGTGTGTTTGCAGTGTAACAGTGCATAGCATGAAATAAGTGTGAGATGTTTATGTTCCAACACCTTTGGTGCTACTCTATGTGCTTGTACTGTACTCTGAGTGAAGGAAGCAGAAGACACCTGGTGTTTTGGTGCCTGGGCATAGAAAACTATGCTTTACTTTCAGACCTATTTGTATGAAGTTTGTTCAGTTTGCCCCAAAGGAAAGTCTCCATACATTGCACTTTTGCAGTCAAGACTTACCTACACTGCTATTCCTGCATCAAACAACACAAACATGCACCCCCACTATGTTCAGACCAGTTCCTCCTGCAGTAAGCTTTCCAGTAAGCTGAAGAACAGCTTGAATTTGTAAGGCAGCCTTCATAAACTGTCTGAATGCATGAAACACTACCCTAAGGGAATTCTCTAATCATACCAATACAGCCATAAAATGGTTTTAGCACTTTTCACCCTCATTCATGTCTGTCTTCCCTACCAAGACAGGGGCTTGTTTTCTTGTTAAACACAGATATATAAACACAGTTTGATAGACCTGTGACTACTCTGAGGGATGGAGAAGAAGCTTGCGTGACATTAAGAATATGTGCATGCACCCACATCATTCCTCACCTTGCTTGCTATATGCCTGTGATGCCATATAAGCAGCACCAGAGCTATGTTATCCCTCATATCTAGTTTCAGGTCATAATCATTAGGTCAGGAAATGGTGCACTTTTGCCCTTTGTGCCCCACTGATTTTACAACCATTCTGCACTCAGCTTCAGTTGGCAGGGGAGGAGCAGGTGTGCAGTGGTTGGGATGTGGAGGGGCCTCAGGCTTGAGCCGTCTCAGGCAGGGTGCAGCTTGGAACACAGACCTGAGCTTAAAACACTGACCTCCCTGTAGCTGGAGGGTCAGTGACCACCAGGTAACGGTTGGATTTCACCAGTGCTGCTGGCTGCTTTGTCAGCCTTTTCTGTCATAAAAGGGAGAGGGAGTTCTCTGAAATGGTTGTGGCACCTGCCCTAGAGAAGGCATTTCAGGTTCCTGTTCTGGAGCTGGACCTGAGTAATGCTGCAGCATTTACTGGCAGAGGGGAAAGTTCAGCTGTTTCCCTGTGCTCTGCACTTCCTCTAGGCTGGCTCTGAGCAACCCTCTGCTCACAAGGAACTTGTTTACCTTTAGCCTCCCATGGCATCGCAGTGCAAACAGACACCTCACTCTCCAATCTGAAGAATCTCTGGGAATCTCAGAAGTTGAGTGATGTGACTGGTTAACCTGCAGGCTTCTAATTCTTCTCTTGGAACTGACAGGGGAAAGCTAGGGAAAACCCATGTCAGTCAGCCTTGAATACTGAATGGCTGATGTTCTAGGTAAAGATTATGATGCTATTCCCTCTAGAAAATTTAACTGGTGGTGACACGTTTTACAAGTGCTAAGAAGGAAACAGTTTATGGAAAGGATTATATAGCTTGTGGCTTTTTTTATTCCTGCAAAAGGCAAACTCAACCTCTCTGCTCTGATTCAGGTGGAGATAAAACCTTAGTGGTTAGCACCTGAGATAAAGCTTTGTATTTGCAAGACATAAATAGCAGTGTCTCCAGAGCTTCACTGAATGGTTTGCAGTACTGTGAAAGGAACAAAACCTGAAGCAGCAAGCTGGTTTAAAACACCCATCTGTTACTTTCTTCCTCTCAGTATTAAGATTAAACGGCTAACAAAATGGAAACCCTTTCTCTTGGTAGGTACTGATCACTGTGGCCGTGGGACAAGAAGTAAGCAGCATGAGCTGTAGAGCACAGCTTTGCACGGTGGAAAACAAACCCTTTCTTGCAGCTAATTCCAAACATACACTGTGGTATTCACTGCACCCACTGGTTTTATATACAGAAGGAAATGAAGTGTAATACCTTCAAAATAACAAACAGGTTCAAAAACCCCTTAAGGCAACCTACCTGCCATATTTAGGCAAGGCAGCACTGATGTAAAGGTTTAGCTGTTTCTTTTGTTGGTAGTGATGTGTCCTTACTTCTATAATCCCATTTCTGCTATTGTGTTTAACCCCCACAGGTGTATAAAAAGAAAGCAGCTGGGAAGCTTGGAGATATCAGCCTCAAGATGACTGAGCAGGAGAAAGAATTTGCTGGGAAGACTGCTCAGTATGAGCAAGAATTGAAGCACCTGCAGGGTCTGCTGCAAGACAAAGAGGAAACTCTCGAGGAAGTGCTGCTCCAGAAGAGGTGAGTGAGAATTTGCTGGGAAGACTGCTCAGTATGGGCAAGAATTGAAGCACCTGCAGGGTTTGCTGCAAGACGAACAGGAAACTCTCGAGGAAGTGCTGCACCGGAAGAGGTGAGTGGGGCTCAGCAGGAGCAATCCAAGCAGGCTGGACAGGTAGAGGGCTGAGGGGAGACACCCAGACACAGCCAGCAGTGCTCGCTTTCCATCAGAGCCTCGTGTGGGAGCTGTGGGACTGCTTGTCTCACTCGTGTTGTAGCTACACCAAAACAGCTGAAGTCCTCCTTAATTCCCAGCTCCAGGAAAGACCCTTGAAGGAGGAAGTCATTCCGTGGCTGCTGCTCTTTGTAAAACTGCTTCTTAGGGAGCAGATCAATCTGAGTGGGGTCTGTGATGGTTTGAGTAGGGTCTGGAAATCAAGATATGTGTTAAGCTGCTGCTCTTTGTAAAACTGCTTCTTAAGGAGCAGATCAATCTGAGCAGGGTCTGTGATGGTTTGAGTGAGGTCTGGAAACCAAGATATGTGTTAATTGTTCAGTAGCATCTCCTGCTAAAGGCTGGAACACTTTCCCCTCCACACCCCTCAGCAGTTTTCAGAGTAGTAGGAAATTAAGAAATCTAATGAGTACACATCGATTTGTTCCCTTTTTTAACTTATCTTACTCTTCTATTAATAAGTGACTTAGATTGGCTGTGTGCAAGATAAAGAGAAGACAATATAATTTAACAGATTTATACAAGATTATGGCTGTCAGTGCTGAAATATCCCTACAGTCCTCTAAAGGCATTTTTCCCTCTGGCAGTGGAAAGCACAAAGGAAGAGCTGTTTACAGCTGGAAAGAGACACCCTCTGGCAGTGGAAAGCACAAAGGAAAAGCTGTTTACAGTTGGAAAGAGACTAGAAGCAGCATTTCACAAGTCGTCACTGCCATTGTGAGAATAGCTTTAAACAGATTTGAACAGGCAATAGAAACCAGGGCATGGTACCATCCACCTGGTGGCGGCACAGTTCCGCAGCTGCCAGACAGCTCAGTGCTAACAGTTAGTTCCACACTGGTCAGGAGCCTCTGCCCCTGGCAGGTTGCACAGCACCCAGGGGTACTGAGCACAGCGTGGTCAGAAGTGATGTCCTACAGCCAAATTAACGTGAGCTTTCATCAAACATAGCAAAGGTGACTTGCCTTGAAATGTTCTCCCCTCCTGCATTCTTCACCGGATGACCAAAGTCAGGAGTTTCACTGCTCACCCACTGTGTCCGAGGCATGAGAACTTTTCTACTCGGTTTTCAAAGAGAAACACATGTAGATGAAATTGCTCTTGTGAGAAATAAAAGCTGTTAAAGCTTCTAAAGAGATGCAGGTTTTCGATTCCTAGGAGCTGCTCTGCAGAGCCTCAGTAATTACAGCCTGTGCTAGATAATACTGCAAGTTCATAGCAACCTTTTGCCTGAGCAGCTGAGGAGAAAGCAGTCTCAGTTTGTGCTCCAGGCAGCTGATAGTGGCATCTTTATTATGCACAGAGTAATCCTTAGTCATCACCACCACATACCTTTCCTTAAATAGCATACTGTGAATGTTTGAGGTATGAGCAGAGTGGAAAACAAACACCTCAAGTCCTTGTTTCACAGGACACTTACCTTTCTGAGGGTTCTAGGTCAGAGTTTATTTTGCAAGTCTTCTGCAGAGAAACAGGACAGTTACAGTTGCTATGCCTCAGATGGACAACAGCTCTGGAAGTGCCTTAGACTGTCCTTGGGAGAGAGTCAGCAGCAGCAAAGCTTTGCAGCCCTGCACAGACAAGGGAGAGGAACTCTCACCTGTGAGGTTACCTCTCAAATTGTAGCCATGGTAAAAATCGGTGATCTTTGTGATAAGGATCCTTGAAATTAACTCTTACAGGATAGGTGAGAATTAGTTCTTGAGGCAGCAGCCCAAGTAGGAGTTTCAGAGATTAATGCTGAGTAAGTCGAGTTCAGTTCTCTTTTGTAGGGAAGAATCTGCTTTCAAAACCTGCCTCTGTAGACTTTTTCATCCTCAAACGTCAGTACAGCATTGGCATTTTGCTTACTCTCCACAAGAGAAAACCTCACGTTTTGGCTAGGTGAGGGGTTGAATGCAATTTTTATTTTTACTCATTTAAGCACAGCTTACATTAAGAAAAACAACCTCAGTGCCTTTTGTCTAAAGATATCTGGAGACAGCACATGGAAACTGAGCATGTGTCTCCTTTTAACTGCCACGTGGCAAAGACTTGTATTCCAAGAGGTGAACCAGCTGTAGTGGCAGGGAAATTTGGTGTTGAGAAAAAAGTGCAGACCATCAGCAGCTGTAGTAACCAAGCTGCTCTGTAACCCACGTGTGTGCTCACTTTTCATGCAACAACTTCGCTTTCCATGTTAAATCACCTTGATTTCCTTATTGTTTTATGTTGTGTAGAAGCAAGTCAGAAGGAACCTGAGAGCTTAACCTTGACCAAATATAATTACAGAGAAGACTGTGGCTGAAATGTACTGCATTATGAACTCGTGCTAGCTTCCACGTTTAATAAAGAACCTTTGCCTTGAGAAGGACGTTAAATCATTCATTCATTTATGCCTGGGCAGTCAGAGAAATGAGTCCCTAAGGCTGCAGTGACTTAAGGCCTGTCCTTCTCTGGCTTTATCTCCCCTTCCAGGTTTCCACCACTTTGCTTCGGCCTCCTCAGCTGAGCACAGTCTCTCTGCTCAGAGCCCTGGGCAGGAGGGGCACGTGGCACCTGGGGCACACTGTAGTTCTGTCCTGCTGCAGTGTTGTTCAAATTAGGATTTCTCTTATTTGTTTCCTTAGGAAAACGGAAGGGGAACTTGAAATTATTTGGGAATGCACCACCAAAGAGAACAGGAGAATGAGAGAACTCTTACATGAATCCCTGAGGAAGAAGATACCGAACGCTGGCACAGTGCCTGAGCCACACGTAAATGAAAGCTCACAGAAGGACCTACTGTATGGACATGATTTTAGCTATTGTGATGTGAAAACTTCATCCCCTACTGAAAATGAAATTCAGCAAGAATTTCGGTGAGAAGAATCTGCATCTCATCCAAGAAAGAGAACTCAGTGCCTTAATTTGACTTTTTCAGCAACACAAGATGTAATGGAACATTTTACCCTCTTCAGAATTACTATATTTTTAAGGGCATCACAATGACAGCAGTAAATCCTGCAGCTGTACTGTTAATAGTCTGAGTGTAGCCAAAAATGACTTTGGCAATTTGAAGACAAGGCTGTTACTTGTTAAGGGAAAATGTGGTACAACTTTAACACAAAACCACAGCCAGTTCACAGGATAAACTGCTGCCAAACTTGGTGCTCTAGCCCACACACCCACCTTGCCACGCAGCAGGTGAACAGCAAGCTAAAGCCTCCAATATGGCAAGTAATGTGCCTCTGGTTTTAATTAAGACGGCAAGTTCCAGTAAATTCTCCCCAAACACCAGATGGAGTATGGTCCAAACTAAGAAAAATAAAAAGTGTGGCCTGTTCCTGTTGCTTCTAGACTTCCCAAGATGCAAGGATGTCCTGATACCAGATTGCCTTCAAAAACTTTGTCATTTGGAGGCCAGAGAAGAATTTGTGCAGCAGGCAAGGCTGAAGCATCCTCATGACAACTGAATGCACAAGTGTCCACTCCCTAGATTTACGGGAGCGCAGGCGTTGGGAAACTCCTGTCGTAGTTTTGCCAAAGGATTGAGCTGCTAGCACAGGATATAGCTCTTGCTCATCCTGCTTCAGGTTCAGGGGCTACCAAAGCCACGTTTATCCCAGAGCATTCTCTGCAGCAGTGCCAGCCCTGAGATTGATGCATATTTATCTTAGCTTTCACAGCTACTGGCTTGCCACAATATTGCACATCGGCACTGTAGTAGGATGTGTTAGTAGGAGGTGATGCTGGTTTGGATTTACGTATAACTTGTTTTGTTTTTGCATTGTTTTCATAATGAAATCCAAATGGTGCCAGAAAACTGTAACAGCACAAAAACTCTGTAACTGTCACAGTGGAGTAATAGTAGAAATAGTGAAAAATCTCTTTGGCTGTGATGACAGTTAACAAAAGAGCAGATAAGCAAGTTAAATACCAAAAGGAATACAGCCTGACTGTGTCTGGAAGGTTTCGTGCAGCATTTTCTGTCAGGGTGACTCAGCAGAGCATTACTGGGGAGAGCAGCTCCCCTCAGCCCACGTGCCCAGGGGTGGGTGGATGTGTGGCTCTGGAGCTTTCCACACCACAGTGCAAAGTCACAGAACCTACAGGTTCTAAGAGCACTGGCAAAATCTCAGGGCACTCAGGTTCCACCCTGATAGGAGCAGAAAACACCAAGGCAGCTAAATCACATGTATGCCAGCAGCATTTTAAGATGTACTTTCATTACTTTCCATTGAGAGGAATAAAATGAGTGCAAGGTCCTTACCAGGTCATCACGATAGAACTTGGGCATGCCAGAGTGAGGAGGACACTGACTGACAGAGCTGTGGCTAACAGCACCACAAGCTTCTGGCCTCCCAGGGGCTCAACCACAGGTACAGCCTTCAAGTCCTGCCTTTTCCAGATTGATTATTTTAGGCCTCCATGCCTCGAAATAACAACCAGGAGCTATTTTGAAGCATTATTTTTAAGTAACTTCATTAATACGTGAGGCTGGCAGCAGGGTGTTCTGCCACTGAACCAGTCCTGGCTCCTGTCTTCCTCGAGCTTGAAAAAACCTAATTTGGCACGTCAGGTCTGGAGTATCTTGTCAGGGCCAGGCACTACAGCTGTATGCACTCCCCTCGTGCCCGTACACACTCCAGTCTGCAGGTGTGTGACCCTGGCAGAGCCTCAAAGCATGGCTATACCCACAGGTTTTCAGTACCACAGAACAGTGAGCAGTTCTCGGGTGCAGCCCCCAAGGATCGGTGAGAAGTGATGAGGCAAGACTGTTTCACTTCAGCTGTCAGACAAAACTGCCTCTGTCCCCTTCTCCTGCTGTAGCTGTATCCAAATCCCAGTCCAGGCACACTGCTCCTCATGCACAGCAGTGTCTGCACAGCCACACTCTTGCTCTGGGCAGGAAGGCAGGACAGAGCTGCTACAGGAGTTACAGCAAACCGGGTGAGTTAGGATGGGACTTGCCCAATCTCAGTCAATCTAATGCATAATTAAGGATTAATTGCGACCTAAAGATCAAAGGTGAAACAAAAAGTCATCCCTTTCACTACAGAGCTGAGTCTGTGGATGTTCCCCTGTTACCATTCACCGTGGGCAGCATTTTGCAGACACATATGCAAATGTTCTGAACACTGTTCTCCTCCCCACTGCTCACAGGATTAGTCACCTTGCAATTCCAACAGAAGCACAAGCACCTGGTTCTCAGCTTTAGGTAGGAAAACAAGTCTTAACCTCTAGAATCTAACATAATGCAGCCCAAAGGCTGTGGGATCTTGAAAAATTAGTTCCTGTACCCTACAATGTACTAGGGGTAGCACAGACACCGAACTGCAGTAAGCAGACAGTATAAACCTCCACAGTGACAGAAGGTATTGCAGAAGACTTGAAGACACATTTGCCAGAAAAACCTTCAGCAAACAAAAAACATATTCCATGGCAGTAAGTGTGCTCGGAACGAGTTGCAGCATTTTCACCATCACTGCAGATACTCCTGGCACAAATGCTGACTAAAAGCAACCAAAAACTCCCACCCACTCCACTAAACCTGCATGTCCCTGCCAAGGGGAAACAAGTATTTTTGTGTTGAACTGATGGGTGATAAAGTGTATTTGATGGGTTTGGTGTGGTTGTACAGTGCATAAACAACAGAACTCTGCTCTTAGGGACTGGCTGAGTCGGATCCCTTGGCTGTCCTGTGTGTGATCACACTCAGCAAGATTTGTGACAGTGGTCATAAGTCACTAAGGCGTCTTTCAGACCGAAGCCCTCAGCTTCCAGAACACTGAGTCCTTTACAACAAGATACTCATCTAAACTGAGTACTGCTATAAAAATGGGAGCAGGAAAATGCATGAGAAGTGGGCAAGGGTTACAGAATCAAGATAGCAGCTGGTTGCACATGATCTTAACACCACTTGAAATCTTTCTGGGTTGCAAGGGCTTTGTGCCTTTACTTACGGAAAATAGGTTCCCCGGGTCCTGCTGTACCTGCACCTGCTGCTTTGGCAGCTGCAGTGCTGGGGCAGCACTGGGCTGGCACAGCAGAGCTCTCCTGCCTGTCCTGCCGGGGGCTGACCCACGCCAGCTCCACTCACCTGCCTCACCTGAGGACCCGACGTGCGCTTTGCTGTAGCTGCTTCTTGCAGGGCTGAGACACGTAAATGCAGTCTCTCTTGCAGGGCTAGAGGCAGCTGCTGCTGACCCCTGGTTAACCAGCTGGACCTGGTGATCTGACCTTTTCTTCACAGAGACACTGCTTCAAGAACCCTGGAATCTCCTGAGTTGGAAGGGACCCGCACGGATCATCAAGTCCAACTCCAGGCCCTGCACAGGACACCCCAAAATCCCACCGTGTGCCTGAGAGCACTGTCCAAACACTCCTGGAGCTCTGTCAGCCCTGGGGTTGTGACACTGCCCTGGGAGCTGTTCAGTGCCCAAACACCTCTGGGGGGAGAACTTTTTTCCTAGTATCCAACCTAAACCTCCCTGACACAGCTCCAGCTGTTCCCTCAGGTCCTGTCCCTAGTCACAAGAGGAGAGGTCAGTGCTGCCCCTGCACTGCCCCTTGGGAGTAAACCCTGGAGGTCTCCCCTCAGCGTCCTCCAGGCTGAACAAGCCGAGTGACCTCAGCTGCCCCTCATGGCTTCCCCTCTAGGTCCTACACCATCTTTGTAGCCTCCTTTGGATGATCTCTAATAGCTTTGTATCTCATATTGTGGCACCCAAACTGCCCCCAGGACCCGAGGTGAGGCTGCCCCAGCGCAGAGCAGAGCAGGACAATCCCCTCCCTCGCCCAGAAGTGATGCTGTCCCTCCTGGCAGCCAGGGTCCTGCTCACTCATATTCAACTGGCCATCAACCAGGACCCTTAGGTCCCTTTCTGTGGTGCCTCTCGTTCCCCAGTCCATCCATACATCCAGATTTGCCCCATCCCAGCTGGAGAATACAGCACTTGCCTCTGCTACACTTCATACAACTTCTCATTTGTCCAGAGCCTCTCTTGACTGAGGGCGTCAACAGCTCCTCTCAATGTAGCATCATTGGCAAACTTCCATCTCTAAACTGAACTCATGAAGTATTTCCAGCTTCTTTTACCAAGACAACATAAAACCATAGAGTTTTCTTCCATTCATACCAAGAAACTGAGAGAACAATTCAGGAATTGTGGAACTGCAGTGACATTACAGTTTCATTGCTGAATTTACAGAGCATATTCTGTCCATACTAACTGAACAGCTTGAATCTAGAAAAGCAAACACACTTGGACAGCTCAGGTGTTACAGCACATCTGGTAAGGGTCATATTCAAAGAACAGCAAGTGCAAGGAAACAGAGTTGGTCCTCTGATTAAAATTAAATAACCTGTAAGCAGCAAGGTTAGAATGGAAAGTTTCCACTCAGATACTGTTACACTACAATTAAAAGCTGCAAGTTGGGATGATCCTTCGCATTTGCTCAGCATTGGTCAAAGCAGAACCTGCTTTACTGTAAGCAATAAATACCAACCCGAACAAACATTAACCTTTACCATTTGTGACAAATGATAATCAGAGGTGTAGCACACTGTGCCCTTGCTATTTCCTGAATTAAAGTTGAAAATTACTTTTTACGATTTAATTGGTAAATAGCATTTGGAAAGTTTCAAACTACAGTGTTTAAATAGGGCCAGCCCACGGAGTGTTTGCCTCTGTAATCCCTTGGAGTTTGAACTCCTCCATCTCTCCATCTGTGTACCTCCTTGAGAGGGAAGGAGTCTTTTCCCACAGCTGTAAAATGCCATTTCTCTTGCCTGGAAAGAAGATAACATCAGAATCCTTGAAACCCATGTTTGTTTTTTCCTTCTGTGGCTGAGGAAAAGAAGGATTGCTGGTAACAT